AATGGAAAATTATGTATTTAAGTTTGGATTTGATTAAGTAGCACTTTAGGGAAATGCAGATACACTTGCCCTTGTAGACAGTAAGATATAAGGACCTACAGCCCAGCAGAGAATACTGGGCTGGACACAGATTGAACAGTCTATCAGCATATGAGTGGCAAACAAATTACATTAGTTAAAGAGAATGTGCTGTGTTTTTTGGTTAGAGTCACAGAATGATTAAAAGAAAAAATATATATATAAAGAGAATGGGCTGTAAAAAAATGTGTTAAGAGACCTTTGCCAGGGAGCACCTCATCAAACTGGTTTAGGTGAGGCCATTTTGTAGTGAATTGAAGAGTGAAAGGAAAGTGAAGAATAGGGCAAAAACAACTCCTGAAAGAAGTCTGAAAAAAGTGAAGAAAATTAGGTGGTAGCTAGAGGGAACACTGAGAGTAGGTACTCAGGGAAAAGCCTATCTTTCAAAAGATAACAAAGGCCAGGCAGCCTCACGCCTATAATCTCAGCACTTTGGGAGGTCAAGGTGGGCGGATCACAAGGTCAGGAGATTGAGACCATCCTGGCTAACAGTGAAACCCCATCTCTACTAAAAATACAAAAAATTAGCTGGGCATGGTGGTGGGTGCCTATAGTACCAGCTACTTGGGATACAGAGCAAGACTCCGTCTCCAAAAAAAAAAAAAAAAAAAGTAGCCAGGTGTGGTGGTGTGTGCTTGCAGTCCCAGTTACTTGGGAGGCAGAGGTGAGAGGATCACTTGAGCCCTGGAGGTCAAGGCTGCAGCGAGCCATGATCACACCACTGTACTCTAGCTTGGGAGACAGAGGAAGATCCAATCTCAAAAAAATAAAATTAAATTAAAGCCATGATCATTTGTTTAGCAAAGTTATGGCTTTACTGAGGTGGTTGTTATGAAGCAAAAATAAAGCAGAAAACAAAGGCCAGGTATGGTGGCTCACACCTATAATCCCAGTGCTTTGGGAGGCTAAGGAGGGAGGATTGTTTCAGCCCAGGAGTTCACGACCAGCCTGGGCAAAATAGTGAGCCCTCTTCTCCATTAAAAATTAAAAAATTAGCTGGGCATGGTGGTGCGTGCCTGTAGTCCCAGCTACTCAGGAGGCTGAGGTAGGATGATCGCCTGAACCCAAGAGTTCAAGGCTGCAATGAGCTATGAGGGTGCCATGGTACTACAATCTAAAAAAGAATAAACAAACAAATGACAAGAAAAACAAGCACATTCAAATGCTAACAGGAAAGAGCCATTAGAAGAGGAGAGGTGAAGAACTGTTGAGATTAACTAGTAGGTAAGGTTCCTAAAGAAAGAGGGAAGGGATTGAGATCCAGAACACATATGGCAAGATTAGGTGTAGATCCAGGTGCAGTGGCTCACGCCTGTGATCCCAGCACTTTGGGTGGTGGAGGCAGGAGGATTGCTTGAGCCCAAAACTTCAACACCAGCTTGAGCAACATAGGGATATCCCACCTCTACAAAAAAATAATAAATTAGCCGGGCATGGTGGTGCACACCTGGGGTCTCAGTCACTTGAGAGGCTGAGGTGGGAGGATTGCTTGAGCCCAGGAAGTTGAGGCTTCAGTGAGCCATGATCATGATCACTGCACTCCAGCCTGGGCAACTGAAGAAGACTCTGTCTCAAAAAAACAAAAAAATAAAAATAAAAAAAAGATTAGGCTTAGACAGAAGAAGGCATTTCATGCAAAAACAAAAGTAAAAGTCAAAGAAAAAACACAGTGCAGGATGAAGAAAATTGACAATTTTCTTCCAATAGTCTTTATATCCAAATAGATGGGGGAGTCACCTGCTAAGAATGAGATGGGATGAGAGGAGTAGGAATTAAAGTTTGGCAGGAGTACCAAGGGAGCTGAGCTGAAACAGGAGATATAAATCTGCATGACTGCACAATTGTCTTCCCCCCAAAGCTCAGCAGCCATGATGCAGAAGAAAAGGATGGGTTGTTAGTGTTATTTTAGAGGGTAAATTGAAAAAGTTTGCGGGGGACAGAGAGGCAAATGATAGGTATTGAAAGCTCTCAAGTATTTTTCCAAACATCATCAGTTCTAAAGAAATCTTTCACTTCTATCTTGAGTATTTATTTACAAGGAAAAAAAAAAAAAAAAAACTAGGTCTTCTTAAAAATAGTTCCTTGGCCCTGAGTGTAGCTGTTCTGTGATGAGATTATTTTAAGCAAATTTTATTTTTGGCCTATGGATTACTTCGTAGCAGGGCCATCCTAAATCTGGATAGCAAATGCTAGTTTTGTATTTAATTTAGGGCAAAGGAAGTTTGTGTAATTTATTATATTCAAATGAGCTATTAAATACCTAAGTACTCTAAGTACATGGAGGAAATCAGTAAAGACTACAGGAAAAAACTAGAAGAAACTACAGGAGAAATTAAAAGTTGATGGTAAGGCTCTGGGATTGCAGATTTTAAAAAATTTACTGGCAGTTTTAGAATGCTAGTAATATAAAGTAACTGTTTTAAAATGTACTTTTTTCCCCCTTTTAAAACAAGGTATTGCCACCCAAGCAAGAGTGCAGTGGCTCGCTGTATCCTCAAACTCTTGGGCTCAATCAAACCTCCTGCCTCTGCCGCCCAAGTAGCTGGGAATATAGGTACAAACCACCAGGTCCAGCCATTGCTACTTTTAACATAATTCAAACAGTAAGAGATTCATCACGTCCACAAAATTTAAAATGTTTCCTAAAATATCATTGAGGGAAAACATGAGAGGATTACCTTGTCTTTTGACTGTCCTTGTCGAGCGATTGCATCATATTTAATTTTTCCTTCAGAATCCACCTGAATGGCCAGTGCATTCGACATTTTTTTCTTTCGTCCCATATCCAGTGGATACTGGGCCACATGGATCTCTGGGAAGGCACCTCCATCTCCAAAATCCTACACATTAGAAGTAGTTAAATAAAATAGTTAATCATCATTTGACATTCAAGATATATTCATTCATTCAACAAGTAATTGTTGAGTCCTTAGTATGTTAGATGCTAGAGATACAGCAGAGGTCCCTGTCTCTTGCGGAGTTTACGTTCTAGTAGGCAAAGATAGAAAAAAAAACATTCTTTGGCTTGTGATAAGTACCATGAAAGTAACATAAAGATCAAGACTGGGAAAAGGGGCTACTTTTGATAGGGTGGCTGGGGACAGCCTTTGTGAAGAAGTAACATGTGAGCTAAAGCCTGAATGATTAGAAAGCAGTCATGGGAAGATGTGTGTACACACACACACACACACGCGCGCGAAGCATTTTCTAGACGGATCAAATAGCCAATGTGAAGGCCCTGCTGCAAGAATGAGCTTGGCATATTTTAGGAAATGAGAATTCAGTGGGGCTAACAGCTTAATAAGGACAGCAGAGCTTGAGGCACAAGTTATATGAGTAAAAAACACCAGATCATGAAGGGACTTACAGAATATAGCAAGACAATGTGGATTTCATATATGCAGGACAAAACTAAGCAAAATGGCTAGGACAAGGCAAAATATATGTGCATATATTTTAGCATATATATACATATTTTAGTGAGGAACAGGTAAAGCTACATTTGGGACAGAAATATAAAAGATTTTTTCTTGGAATCAGATTTTATTAACATATTATTTATTGTTATGTGAGAAGCAAATGAATACAACAGGAAGGATCCAGAAATGAGTTTACTACATTTCTACTAGTGATTATACATAATTATTTAGGAGAGAGAACTGAGACTGCTAAAGTAGAACAAGCTAAATAAAGTTTGCTGATGAAATGTAATATTTTGAAAAGGTTTATCAAGCAAACATGAGGATCAAGTATAATTTTTAAGTAGTGTTAAAAAATTTAGCAGTATTTGCTTAGTACACTTTAAACATGATTCACACTTGTATTATCTCATTTAATCCTTGTAACTCTTTAACATCATTGTATTTTAAATGGAAACATTCAGGTTTAGAAAAATTAAGTGGTTTTCCTGAGATCTCGCAGGTATTATATGCAGCACCTGAACCAGATCGTTTGAAACTCCGAAAAGCTTTGTATTTTCTACTACTATGAAATACCTTTCTTTTAGCTCAAAACAGCCAAACGAGTACTATTAAGAAATGATAGAAAACACAAATTAAATTTAATCATTTAGAGGGGGTTTGACAGAAAAAAAAAAGAAAATATTCACTTTTACAAGACCTCTTTAAGTAATACTCCATTAGATCTAAGATATATGAGTTCCTAAGTACAATATGCTTATTTGCTAAAGAGATGTTTGAAGTTTTTGAAAACCAAGAGAATAACGCTGAGAGACATTTTCTTGTAAATGAGAAAGAGTTAAAGCATTCCTAAGAAAAGTGCTTCCCGTACCCAGGCCATCAATCTGACACATGCTTGGATTTGCTAGAGTTTTTCAACTATAATAAGCACTTCAGAACTGTAGATGTAGCATTATGTGGTCATTAAGATTGCCAGAAAATCATAGCTTTTATTTTGAAAACTAGAATAAAATGCCTTCTTCCACAGAACATTCACTCCCCTCAAGCAGCATCCATAGCATTTCCAGATTAGCTGGCTATTTCAACTTGATTTTCAAATAAACTGTTCTGTTCCACCAGGATATATAAAACCACTAATAGTCAAGTAGGAATCTAAAAACCTAATAGCAACCAAGTATCGTAATGCTGAAATGCATGGATGAGATTTCCTTTCTATGTAAGGTGATGCCTGTCACCTGTCACCCTCATGGTGCAACCTATTGACATACCAAACAATATTTATAATGCCTCAACAGAGACACTCAACTCCTCTATTAGATGACACTGCCAATCACTACTTTTTTTCCCCAGGTAAGACTCCTTGATAATCTTTCATCTTGCTCTGCCTCCCACAAATTACACTATCAGAGAAAACAAAAGCAACAAAAATCCCTTAATAATTGCAATATGACTGGCCTTCACACACCAGCATTCATAAGGACCAGAGGAAAGCTGACAAAAAAACAACAAAAAAACCTACATGTGGGTTTTTTGGAATACATAGGACAAGATATGATCTAGTTGGGTGTTCCTCTTATAAACTCTAATAAAGAGTATGGGCCGGGTGCGGTGGCTCACAGCTGTAATCCCAGCACTTTGGGAGGCCGAGGCAGGTGGATCACGAGGTCAGGAGTTCAAGACCAGCCTGGCCAAGATGGTGAAATCCCGTTTCTACTAAAAATACAAAAAAATTAGCCGGGCGAGGTGGCAGACGCCTGTAATCCCAGCTATTCGGGAGGCTGAGGCAGAGAACTGCTTGAACCCGGGAGGCGAGGTTGCAGTGAGCTGAGATTGCGCCACTGTACTCCAGTCTGGTGACAGAGCAAGACTCCGTCTCAAAAAAAAAAAAAAAAAAAAAAAGTCTGGTAGCCAGGGGACTGAGATATGGAAGAGATTGAGAATACAGATGGCTTCTGGTAGGACTCTAAGCTACAACTATCAATTCAGTGGATACTACGATCACTACTTGAAGGCATGTGAAAAAAGGCATGAGCCCTTCATACTTGCGAAGTAAAAATCATAACCAGTAAGGACAGAACAAAGAAAAGTGATGGGGTGATGGCTGGGCTTAGTGGCTCACACCTGTAATCCCAGCACGTTGGGAGGCCAAGGCAGGTGGATTGCTTGAGGTCAGGAGCTCAAGACCAGCCTGGCCAACATGGCGAAACTCTGCCTCTACTAAAAACACAAAAATTAGCCAGGTATGGTGATGCGCGCCTATAATCCCAGCTACTTGGGAGGCTGAGGCAGAGGTTGCAGTGAGCTGAGATCGCACCCCTACACTCTAGCCTGGGTGACAGGGCGAGATTTTTGTCTTTAAAATAAAAAAAAAAAAAAGAAAAGTGATAAAACGAAAATAACTGGGAATGGTAATAGGCACTTCAGATTTTTAATAGGGCAGAAATATTTGCTGGGACATGAAGAAGCAAAATATGCAGGAATCAGAAGGAATACTGAGAGAGAAAAGACTTGATTAAAGTGGAGGGAGTCCTGAGGAGGAAATATGTGTCTCAAATGTTTGCTTTTCTCCCTAGTGAAGATAGTAGTCAAGCATGGGAAGGCTGCCCTAGAATCAGGGAAAGGAATACGTATTAAATTAATGTAGGCCAGGTGCGGTGGCTCAGGCCTGTAATCCCAGCACTTCGGGAAGCCGAGGCAGGCGGATCATCTGAAGTCAGGAGTTCAAAACCAGCCTAGCCAACATGGTGAAACCCTGTCTTCACTAAAAATACAGAAAATTAGCTAGGCATGATGGCCTGTGCCTGTAAAATCCTGGCTACTTGGAAGGCTGAGGCAGGAGAATCACTTGAACCTGGGAGGTGGAGGTTGCAGTGAGCTGAGATCACACCACTGCACCCCAGCCTGGGAAATGCAGTGAGATTCCATCCCAAAAATAAAACTAATTAATTAATGTAAAGGATCCTGAGTAATTAGAATAGGTGCTGCCAAGGAAGCTTGCTCTTTTTATTTTTATTTTTTATTGAGACAGAGTTTTGCTGTTGTTGTCCAGGCTGGAGTACAACGGTGCGATCTCAGCTCACTGTAACCTCCGCCTCCCAGGTTCAAGCAATTCTCCTGCCTCAGCTTCCGGAATAGCTGGGATTACAGGCACGAGCCACCACGCCTGGCTAATTTTGTATTTTTAGTAGAGATGGGGTTGCTCCATATTGGTCAGGCTGGTCTCAAACTCCTGACCTCAGGTGATCTGCCCGCCTCGGCCCCCCAAAGTGCTGGGATTACAGGTGTGAGCCACTGCGCCCGACCGGAGGCTTGTTCTTTGGCAACAAGCTAGCAATAGAAAGGGCTATTCCAGATGGTTCCTTCTCCCTCATTGCCTTCAAATCAACCAAATTTTGTCTCTTATACCCACAAAAACATATTTAACCTATATATCATATATATATTAACATTCTCAAATTAAAGATAAGAAAACAAGTGAAGAAAAAGAAATTAGTAAAGGAAGTGCTACTGGAGTTTTCCCTGAAGTAAAGTTCTCTCTTCAGGGTTATGTGGTATTACCGGAGGGGAGGAGGAGCCCAAACATGAAATCCACTTTCATCTCTCTTATCTTTTTACCTTCCCATTATTTTCCATATGCTGTAATTCCTGGATTTACAAAATGTTAGTTTTCTTGTAAATATTTAATAGTTTGATATAGGAATAGACAAATAGTACAATTCTCTAGTGACCACAAAGCAGTGACAGATAATAAGCAAAAAGAAAATGATACATCTTCTGAGTGAAATATACATCTTGAGAGTGCATAACCAGAATTTCTATCACACTGACATTCATAATCAGAGGTCCTAACATTTAAATTTATGTTATAGTGTGCTATAAATTTCAGCACAACTTAATAAATTTAAACTTAAGATCCATATGTACCTCTAATAACCGAGGTATCCAGCCTTTCCGGTATCCGTACGGGGGAGGCTCTCTTCGGGAGGAGACCAGTGAGGTCTGCCGCGATCTTTGGGATCTTGCCTTTTCTTCAGCCTCAAGCTGGTCCTGAGATAGCTGAGTAGGTGCAGGTAAAAAGCTATAAGCAAAGATAATAAAAGTCAGAAATTTAAAAAACGCTTATGTTTAATTTGACCACTGCAACTTGGCCACAGAGACAAATTTTCCTACAATGCTTTTACTTTTCAGCGAAACAGCCGATTTTTCAATGATTTATGGTAGTACTCAATATTAGTCATTTTATAACATGGAAGACAGAAGTACTCAAAGACACACAGTAAAAACATCTGACTAGGACAATAGCAAATGATGTCCAGAATAAAAAATTAACATATATTTCAGATAATAGACAAACTCTTAAGCATTTATGCTTCCGTATTTCCCTTTTTTTTTTTTTTTTGAGAAAGAGTCTCACTCTGTTGCCCAGGCTGGAATACAGTGGTACCATCTCCACTCTGTGCAACCTCTGCCTCCTGGGTTCAAGTGATTCTCCTGCCTCAGCCTCCCAAGTAGCTGGGATGACAGGCATGTGTCACCACACCACGCTAATTTTTGCAATTTTAGTAGAGATGGGGTTTCACCATGTTGGCCAGGCTGGTCTTGAACTTGACCTCAAGTAATCTGCTGACTTCGGCCTCTCAAAGTGCTGGAATTACAGGCGTGAGCCACCACATTCGGCCACGCTTCCATATTTGTCTTTATTTTTTCTTTTTGAGACAGAGTCTCTCTGTGTCACCCAGGCTGGAGTGCAGTGGCACCATCTCGGCTCACTGCAGCCCCCACCTCCCGGGTTCAAGTAATTTTCCTGCCTCACCCTCCCAAGTAGCTGGGATTACAGATGTGCGGCATCACACCCGGCTAATTTTTGTATTTTCAGTAGAGACAGGGTTTCACCATGTTGGTCAGGCTGTTCTTCAACTCCTGACCTCAGGTGATCCACCCATCTCGGCCTCCCAAAGTGCTGGGATTACAGGTGTGAGCCACCGTGGCTGGCCTGGCCTCTAAGTTTTAAATTTCATTCTAGATTCCCTTGGCACTTAAATACACAACTCGTGTTTATTTTATCTACCTCTTTGTTCTAATCCTAGTTCTTTTTGCTCTAGCCTGCGCAACAACAGCAAAACTCCTTCTAAAACAAACAAACAACAACAACAAAAAAACTTAAGAGACCAAAGAATCAAAGCAGAAGCCCTGAAGATGCAGCTTATTCTTTAGTCAAGGTAACCTTTCTACTAAACTGTTCTTAACAACTTTTAAGTATTAAAGTATTATAGTGATACTCTAAAGTACTACAAAAGGATCCTGATGGCTGAATATGGAGAAAACAACCTTAGTTCCTTTGTGATTCTTGAATAGTAAGCATATCTAAGTAGCAGAGCTTATTAATTATTCAAAAATATTTATTATTTGGGTTCAAGCACTATGCTAGGCATGAGACTATAAACAGAGAAAGACAGCTTAGTCTTGCAGAGACAGAGACCAAAAAAAAAAAAATCACACAAATCTATAATTACACATGTTAAGTTATGATGTTCAGATACAGATGCTATGAGTCTACATGATAGGGATCTAATCCAGTCCGGGGCGGTAAGTGATGGCTAGGCTTAGAATTCAGATCTGACCTATGCCACTTACTAACCTGGATAAGCTACTTACCTCTCTGAATCTGTTTTCTCAACTGTAATAATAGTTCATAAGAGTATCTACTTCATAAGGTTCTTATAAATATTAAATGAGAGAAATCCATGAACCTGTTGGCATAGTATCTAGGCACTTTCAATACAGGTTCCGTATGTTTGATAGTTTTAGGGCTGTACCATGACTCTTCCAGTTTGGGTTAAATGCCCGTCTCTATGCTCCCCTACAACCCTCTATATACCACTACTACAACATTATCTTACTGTACTGCAATCATCTACTCATTTATCTACTCTGTTTTCACAAGACTGTGAGCAGCTCTGCGGGAATCACACCTTATACTTCTTTCATCCCTAATGCTCCAAGACTTTTAACCTCACAGCTGGAGCTCCTTAAATGCTGTAGGAGAAATAAATACACTCTTCCCCGGCACTCACCATCTTCATTTCGCTATAGCCTTCTTATCTTTCCTTAAGCCATCTCAGGATCTTCACACTGGCTATTTCTTCTGCCATAAAATCTGTCTGTCTGTCTCAATCAATTACAATTTTTCCGGCTGGGCGAGGTGGCTCACACCTGTAATCCCAACACTTTGGGAGGTCAAAGCAGGTGGATTACTTGAGGCCAGGAGTTCAAGACCAGCCATGTCAACATAGTGAAGCCCTGTCTCTACTAAAAATACAAAAATTAGCCAGGCATGGTGGCGGATGCCTGTAATCCCAGCTGAGGCAGGAAAATCACTTGAACCTGGGAGGTGGAGTTTGCAGTGAGCTGAGATTGCTCCACTGCACTCCAGCCTGGGTGAGAGTGAGACTCTGCCTCAAAAAACAAAACAAACATAACATAATCAAAAAAACAAAAACGAAAACACAGAACAAACTTTCGTATGCTTTTATAGAAAACTCTTCTCCAGATCTCTTCTTTTTTGACTGCTCCTTGAGGAGCAGGGCTATCCCATAGGCAGTATGCCTAGAGTAGCCCCAGATCTTTCAACAGCTTGCATCTTAGCACTCATGTCTCTGCTCAGTTACCTCTCTCTAGAGCTGTTTTCTGACCATCTTACCCAAAATAGCCACTTCACCCCAAACTTTGAGTCACTCTCTAACCCTCTTTTATTCCTAGCGTGTATTACCTGAAATTGCATTATGATTTTACTCATAGTCTTTCTATCCCAGTAGAATGTAAGCTCCATGTGGATAGAGTATAAAATTAAAACAAATTCAGTTTCTCCTATTATTTCACTCAACAATCAACAACACACAACACTTCTGATACCAGATACATGATGGTTTTTCCCCACGTATCAAGCAAGCTATCAATTGTTTACTGGACACCAGTCAAGTGTCCTCTAATTCAATTCATTTTTGATGTTATCTACCTGGAGATAGTGTCAGATGTCACAGGTTGAGGGCTCAGTCCCTCAAGACTGCCCTCACTTCAGATGCCAATAGTAGGTCCAGGTCACCGGCCAACTGACTACAAACCAGGGTTCCCATGACCTCATCCTCAGGTTCAACTAATTTGCTAGGGTAGCTCACAGAACTCAGGGAAATGCGTTTACTGGTTTAAAAGATGTTACAAAGAATACTGAGGAACCCCAGATGGTAGGTATGGAAAGCTCTGGAGTCCCCAAGACTGGTCATTTGAATACTGCATTCTGCCATTGCAATTTTAAGCACACAATACCCATCACAGGCCACACGATGTGGTGGCTGAGATGGGTGGATCAGTTAAGCCCAGTTTAAGAACAGGCTGGGCAACATGGCAAAACCCCACCTCTACTAAAAAACCAACAATTAACTGGGCATCAAGGCAAGCGTCTATAGTCCCAGTTACTCTGAGGCAGGAGGATCACCTGAGCCTTGGGAGGTTGAAGATGCAGTGGGCTGTGATTGGGCCACTGCACTCCAGCCTGGGCAAGAGTGAGATCCTGCATCAAAAAATAAAATAAAAAAATACCCATCACATCTCTAGAAATTTTTCCTGTGTGTCCATTTCAAATTCCACCTTTTCCACGAAGTCTCCCCTCATAATTTTACTAGTCTATGACACAGTGTCTCACACCTGGAGGGTACTCAAATGTTTGCTGCCTGTAACATTTACTAAAGAAAAAACTCTTGGCTGGGCATGGTAGCTCATGCCTGCAATCCCAGCAGTTTGGGAAGCCTAGGTGAGAAGACTGATGGAGGCCAGGAATTGAAGACCACCCTGGCCAACGCAGTGACACCCCATTTCTAGCTTTTTATTAAAAAAAAAATTCAGATGCCGGGCATGGTGGCTCACGCCTGGCACTTTTGGAGGCCGAAACAGGAGGACTGCTTGAGGCCAAGAGTTAAAGACCAACCTGGCCAACACAGCGAGACTTCATCTCAAAAAAATAGTTTTTTAAAAAAAAAAGGCAAAAAAATTTTTAGAAAGGAGAGGGGAAAGAAAACTCTCCAGCCCACACAACTTATTCCATCTAATTCTTTTTGCACTAAGGTTAGTATAACACAAATGTGCATTTTGTGTTCTGTGATTGTTTTATGTCTGTATACCTTGTACCCCATCTTCCCTGTTGCCAAAGACAGATTTTCTTCTGTGTACACAATCCTCAGGACAGAGCAAAGCACCAACAGTAATTCCCAAAGTAATTTTTTGGATTCATACTGTCATCGGCCAGAAAAAAACAAAAAAAACCCCAAAAAACAAAAAAACATGCGTGAGGAGAATGAAGGGTGTTAAGAGGGCTCAAGTTTATGTCCTAAAAGGACTACTTTCTCTACAACCTTCCTGAACACTAGACTTTTCCTGTTCAGTTCGCATGGAAAGTTTTCCCACTTAAGGTGGGGCAGCAAGGTTGGGGACTAGCAGGGGTAGCGTAACTTCTCGGACTCTCCCACTGAAAAGCATGTTTTTCTTAAAGGCAAGGAGCACTTTACAGACAGTTACTAAGGTAACCGGAAACAGCAAAACTCTGAGGTGGTTCTATCTACGGAAGAAATTCTAAGCTCCAAAGTTAAAGTGCGGAGCAGTGGCGCATATCAGCAGACAGCTGCCACTACTGTGGCTCATTTAAATCTCTGTCAAGCTCCGGGTCCCTTTTTTCAGGAATTCTTGTTTCGGGACACAGGCAAACGGCCGGAAAGCCGCGCAGTCGCAGCCCGTGCGCTTCACTCCGCCCAAATAAGCCACTACCGTCCCCAACCCCTTCTTGTTCGCCCGAGCCGCGGACCTGAGGGAGCGTTGTTCGCTCCCCTCAAGATGCTTAAGCGAAAAATGCAGTCTTCAGTGTCTGAGGCCACGCCGCGGCTTTCGGCCTTGGTGAGGGGTGAACGAAACCCGGGAAACCGCTGAAAGACCCCAGCTTCGACTAGGCCTAGTCGTAGCGGCGGCCAGCGGGAGGACGTAGCCGTAGTTTTGGCCCACGTCATTCTGTGCCCCGGGTCAGGTCACCGCCCCAAGAGTATGGGAAGAGAAATGAAAAAGATTGGTACTCCCAGACCCTTCCGTATCGAGGACCCCAATCAACAACCCACCTGGTGAGCGCCATCTTCTTCCGCTTCTTCCAGCGCGAGCGACAGCACCGCGGGGCGGGTCTTTCCAGATGATGAGGAGCGGAAAGGAAGGAGCGCGCGATGCGCAGGCGCTCTGGCCGAAAGGCCTTCTGGGATTTGTAGTTCTTTGAACAGGAGTACCATTCGTTTCTATTCTGACCGGACCAAGCGGTTATCAAGGAATAATCTCTTCAGCTAGCAACAAATACATAACTCGATCGCTTATATGCGACATGATAGGGCGTTCTCTAGGCAAAATATCAAAGATAGAGGGAGATGCTGTTTAGGCCGCTTTATTACGTTCCTTACTCAGCCCCATTCCCCCAGAAAGGGTACACAATACAAAAGCTTCCCCGGGACAGCTACTGTAATTGAAAGGGTGATAGGGAGTTTAAAACGATAGGTAATAGTGAGACTGGCTAATGGAGAGTTCTTGGACTCTGAAAACATTCATACTCAAAACTTTTCTTTAAACCGTATCCTCCTACCACCCAAAACAATCTCCTGGGGAGATATTTTGTAGTCCTTGGTAATTTACCGAGCGTCTGGGTTCCCTGCCCAGGGTATGACAAGGCTGAAATCTCATAGGAGGCTCTGGAGAAAAATCCATCTCCTCACTCATTCTTGTTTGCAGAAATCAGTTCCTGGCGGTTGTGGGATCGACTTCCCTGTTTTGTTGTGTGCTGCTAGTGGTGGCCACCCTCAGCTCCTAGGGGTCTCTCAACTCCTTCCCACATGAACCCTATTTATTGGTAGTTCACAACAAGGATGTTTGCTTGCTCCCGGGCCAGCTGAAGCACATCTTTCTGTCTCCTCTTCTGCCACTGTTGGAGAAAAATGCTCTGCTTTTAAAGGGCTCGTGTGATTAGATCAGGCTCACCTGGATAATCTCCCTGTTTTGAGATCAACTCTTGGCCGGGCGCGGTAGCTCACACCTGTAATCCTAGCACTTTGGGAAGCCGGGGCGGTCGGATTGTCTGAGCTCAGGAGTTCCACACTAGCCTGGGCAACATGGTGAAACTCTGTCTCTACTAAAAATACAAAAATTATCTGGGTGTGGTGGTGTGCTCCTGTAGTCCCAGCTACTCGGGAGGCTGAGGCAGGAGAATCGTGTGAATCGGGAGACGGAGGTTGCAGTGAGCCGAGATCACACCACTGCACTCCAGCCTGGCG